GGCGGGGGGGCGGCCGGTCCCAGCACCCCCCTCACTGTCTCTGGTAAGATCAGACTGTGGAGTTAGTGCTGATGGAGCTGTGTGGAAATGGATGAAGTGCTGTAGTCTGTCTCTGTGTTGAGGTGGACCAGTGATCCTGCAGAGTCCTGTCCTCCCTGTGATGGAGGGGGGGGCCCTCAATCTGAGCTGTACAGCACGGGCCCCCCCCTCCAGCCCCACAGCCGATTTCTATAAAGATGGCTCCCTCATCAGGACGGAGCCTACAGGTCACATGACCCTCCGGCCTGTTAGCAGGTCTGATGAAGGCCTCTACAGCTGCTCCATCGGGGGGGACAGGTCCCCCTCCAGCCGGGTCCGGGTCACAGGTGAGATCTCAGTTCAGCTCCAATTTGTCCCACAGTCACCTGACCAGGTGGGTTCTCTCTGCAGAGAAACCTCCAACCTCGGCCCCGCCCACCTCTATGACCACGCCCACCTCTGAAGCCCCGCCCCCTGACTCCTCCCCCCACCACCTTGGGTTCATGCTGCTCCTCCGCCTGCTGGTGTTCTGCCCCTACTTCATCTCCACCCTCCTCCTGGTGTCTGTGTACCGACTCAGAGCCAAAGGTAACGTTCACCCAGCTGCAGACCAATCAATCAATCAATCAATCAATCAATCAATCAATCAATCAATCAATCAATCAATCTATTACCTCTCTGACTGAACTCTCCATGTTTTATTGATCTCTTCATTTTCTTTCTCACCTGCTCTGATTACAGGAAGTAAACAGCCCGTCTCCGTGGCGACGGCCCCGCCCCTCCAGGCTGAGCCGGGATTGGACGATGACTACGATGACGTCACCACAGACCATCATTTCTGAGGCCGTTCTGACCCCTGAGGGGGAAAGCTTTTTAAAAAGCTTTTTATTAAAGATCTGCTGTAAAACATGTGAGCTTTGCCTTTTTCTCCAGATAGGCCATAGGCTGAAGCTCATAATATGGCAAGAAATAGGATTTCGCTCCACTATCCTGGGGACTACTTTTCGATAGCAGTTTTCCAATCTTAAATATGTACTCAAGCTGGGAAAAAAAGTTCTCCATGGGATTCCTGCCAGTATTTGAGAAAATGGAGGCTGAAGGTGGCAGTTTTCCGAAAAAAAGTGACAATTTTGGGTCTTCTACCATTTTCAAACCCTTGTACCTTTTTTATTATGAAGGCGATCTGACTCAAATTTTTGATTCCCACAGACATTCATACTTACTCTGAGCTTCTAAAGTGGCAATGTTCTGAGTGCTTTAAGTAAGGAGTTATTCTAAATGAAAACATAGACTTTTTAACAATTTCACAATCTCCCAAAATATATCATTATTGGTCATGAAAACAGCAATTCTTTGAATTTTCAATTGAAAAACTTGAATAGAAAGATATCCCTTTGTGTCTGGTTAACTAATAACTATGAAAAGTGGTGTGAATTTTATCAGCAGACCAGTTACAATATTGGAAGCAACATTTTAGGAAATAACTGAAACAATGAAATTTAGAAGAATCTCCAAGTAAATCGATACTGTTTATTCAATGGACCTGATAACAACTTAAGCAATCATGGTATTAATTAACAAATAATAACAAAAATAATAGTAGATCTCATAACTCCCATCATTATCAGTATCAATATCGTTGCCATTTTTCATCAATTATATGTGTTAGGCTGCCTCTCTCTTCTCCCTCTGTCCTTCTCTCTCTCTCTCTCTTGCCCTCTCTCTCTCACCCCCAACCGGCCGAGGCAGATGCCCCCCCACCCTGAGCCATGGTTCTGCTCCAGGTTTCTGCCTGTTCAAAGGAAGTTTTTCCTTGCCTGTGTCGCCTAGTGCTTGCTCATGGTGGGAATTGTTGGGTTTCTGTAGTTAACTTCAGAGTAGGGTCTGACCTGCTCTGTTTGGAAAGCGCTGTGAGACAACTGTTGTTGTGATGTGGCTCTATATAAATAAAATTGAATTGAACTTTCTTTGTTGCACCGTTTGTGGTACCGCACTTCAATTGTGACACAATCTTTTCCATGTACATCTTTGACTATGGATTCGTCCATTTTCACTTCAGCTGCTTTAACCAAACTCCCTAGCAAAGAGAGAGTTAAAGTTCAATCATAAACCAGCTGCCAACAAATAATATCAAATACCTTTTCTCTGTTTTACCAGACTGAACTGGTAGTTGGGTGACAAATTTAAAATCTAGCCATTATTTGACAAATCAATTAATTGCCTACCATCACTTCAAGTTCATAATAATGCCTTTTATTATTTTTGAGGCCCTATACATAGCCTTCATACACCTACTTCATAATGATTTGAGCAGGCTTGGGCTGGCACCAATTAAACATGCATTTTTTTAACCAACAAATGTATTACTTTTGCTTTTGATTATAAGCCACAAGCAAAGATGCTGTCTGCAAATTATCTACTCAGCAGCATTTATACTAGTTTCTGCTTGGACCAATTAACCTTTCTTTGTCTTGTGTCCTTCCGCCAACGTGCAATTCCGTCAATTTCTTGCCACTTACAGGCACATATGACCAGCTTCTTCCAATGAACAACTGTTAGTGGCTGTGTCCGTTCTTTGTCTACCAATGATATGTGTGTGATGCATATATAATCCTCATTAGGGGGGCCACTGCCAGCGGCAAGGCCCACCTATTACTATCCAAAATACTTATTTTGAGAATGCCGACTGCCTCAGGTTAAACTTCATTGTGATCATTTCCAAACTGTCTTCTGCCTGTTTTCGTCTTTTGCACTTTTCTCTAAATGGTTCTTCTGATTTTTTGGACCTTTGACATTTGTCAATAGAACTCTTTGGTCTTCAAAATGCTCTTGAGCTGTCTCCTCAAATTCAGAAGTTCCTGACCTTTGACCTTCTTCACACTGTCCTGTTTAGCCTGATGTGAAACTTCATTTAACTTCTTGTACCTTCTTGATAATTTCATGGCTTATTTTTACTCAATCCTCTTCTTCTAATCCTTTTAACTGATTTCTTTCACTCATTAGCTATCAGCTCTTCAAAATTATTCCTAACTTCAGCCTTTAACCTTTTAGACTCTATGAATTTTTCAGCTTTGCTTTGGCTTTTTCTGCTTCCTCAGTGCTGTCTTGTGCTGTCTTCAGCCTTTTTCATTTAAACTCTTTTGCTTTCTTCATTCAGCTGGTGGCATTCTCACAGCTGTTTCGCAGGAACAACTCTTTCTCTAGTTCCGTAGCTTATAGTTCTCCCGTTTCCGTCCGAATTTCGGCGCGTAACTTGTCGCACATGGTCCCGCGGATCGGGCCCAAAACCAGCATGCGCGTCCGACCCAACCACGGGATGTGTGCGATTACTTATCTTTCTCAAAGGACCGGGCGTTTCCGAGTAAACGGCGAAAAAGTGGCGAAATTTGGACCATAGGAATGAATGGGGCCACCGACAAATGGGCCCAAAAAAAAGCCCCACGACGTCCGAGAGACCTCGTTCAGACATTGAACGGGTCACGAAAGACGGGCCTCCGCCATATCGGAGCCACGAGGCAAGATCTCGCACCGTTTGCCCGCAATCGCTGTTGACGTTTTAGTGAAATTCAGAAAATCAGAGATCCTGGCCCGCACTCTAGCTCAGCTCGTTAACTCATTGACTGCCAGCCATTTTCAGAACAGAGTCGCTCACTGCCAGAGTTTTTTGAGAATTTTGACTGATTTTTCAAGAGCCACAGAATAGTTTGTGCCATGACTATGTAAACACCAAACACACCAAAAGAAAGAGTAGACTCTCTTCTATCATCAGGAAAAAAAAAATTGTTTCTACCTTATTCCGTTCTTCCTCGACGTGCGTCTCACCGGCGCCATTTCTCTCATAGCGAACCATTGCGTTTGTTTTTATTTGCTTACAATCTATGCTAATCTCCCATCAAAAGTGGCACAGCTACCTAGAGGGTAAATTTGTTAGTCCATACTCTGTCTAGAAGCCGATATTTACGGAAAAACTTTCGCCGATCGTCCCCCAAGCCACTCGCATTGAAAAACATAAAAGGCGTCTATAGACGTCTTTGGCAGCGAATGAGTTAAGGCCTCTGAGAGACCTGTGTGGACGTTCAGCGAAAAAAGGTCAAACTACAGCCTCTGGGGACCAAACCGTGGGGCCGAGCGGTGCCAAAATGGCCTCAAAATGTAGTCGCGGACGTCCTCTTTCGCCCGATGTGCCCGCTTTGGACCTCGGCCCTACGGTTTTCTGGCAATCGGGCCCAGAGTCCAGACTTTCCCGACCCTCTCCAATAGGATTTTAAAGGGAAAAAAAAGGAGAAATGTTTTTCACCAGAGCAAAAACGGCCCTCATTTTGAAATTGCCATAAAAAAATAACCGCTGGGAGCAGCCGAAAATAAAATACACTCGCTTCGACCTTAAAGTCTCGTGCTGCTCACGGTCCAAGAGCAGTTCCAGTTTTGTGAATTAGTTTTCGAACAGCGGGCAGTAGTTCTGAGGCAACTTTAGATCCAATCTGACAGTAGGGTCTGTGAGAGCTGCGGCTCAGTGATGAGTCACAGGTGTGGCAGTTGAGACTTGGGCCAGGCTGCCATCGCCGTGGCGAGCTGTGGAGATTATTATACAGTGGTTCTGGTTCATGGCGGGTGAAGCCCGCTCTCAGTGATTTTTTAAGAAATACGTTATTTCTGTTACGAGGCGCGCGAAGCCCGCTTAGAGGGCTTTAGTCAGAGCCCGGTTCTGCTTCTGGTTCTAGGGATAGGACCCAACCGGACCGGGGATGGACCCAGTCATGTCATACCTCGTTGGGTAGGTCTTTTTCTCAGCTTTCAGCCAATGTGACCCCCGACCTGGTCAAACCAATTGCATTCAGTCGGCAACCCCAGAACTCAGCCAGGTCCCTCCATCACTGCGTCTCTCCCTCAGGCCCTCTCATAGGCGCAAGCCCACATTACAGAGAGCCCAAATATCGATTGGCCGACCTGGACGGGCAGTAGGTGGCCCCCCTCCAAAATTTCTTCAGAAATGTTCTAGTTTTTCTTGCGTTTTTTGTCTGATCAACGGGAACACGCTGCTCCACGAGAGCAGCCATGTTTGTTGTTGTTCTTCTCTTCTCGCCTCTGAATGGGAGAGCGCACCTGAAGGACGGGCTCTGATTGGCTAACGGCTAGACGGCTTGATTCGAGCCTTAGTTTACCGGTGTGATCAGGTTACGATATAGTTACATTTTACAATTACTGTAAAAATACTGGCCCAGAACTTTTGGTTATGAGCTCAAAATGCACTTAGGATTTTTTTGTAGGTGTCATTTAGTAGTCCCTAAATAAGTGGAGCGAACCTGAACGATACAGGCTTCAGCCTATGGCCTAAGAGAAACTGAACCCTGAACCGGGCTGAGATCAGAGCTGGACCTGTCAGTTATGTGGTGGGAAAAGAGGGAAAAAGATTATGACTTCCAGCTGGAAAAGCTGATTTCCAGATTCTCCCTTTAAGCTTCAAGTGTTTCCAGATGGAAAGAACAGAAAGAGGACTCAGTGATACACTGATATAATATTTTATTTTGTTTATAAATATATAAATAAAATACAATAAAAAATAATAAATAGAAAATTGCACATTTGACTTCAGTCTGACATGAACAAGCTGAATCGCACCTCAAAGCGTTCAGTCTGAGTTCAACACATTAAAGGTACAGCAGGATTTCAAATCCAGCCTTTAAAACACGAAGCTTATCAGCTGAACGGTAATGAGGTCACATTTACAAACTGAGGTTTTGAGCACAGCTCATAAAAAATACTAAACATTCCACTTGTTCATTCAAGACACAAATATTTCTATTTAAAATAGAAATGTAACTGGACTTTGTCCACTGGCTCGTAAGTCCAGAGGCCGAGGAGCTGGCCTCTGATTGGGCGGGAGGCCTCTGATTGGGCGGGAGGCCTCTGATTGGGCGGGAGGCCTCTGATTGGGTGGGAGGTCCCTGATTGGGTGGGAGGTCCCTGATTGGGTGGGAAGAGGATACCGCGATAGGCTTCTGTGGACGCTACTGGGCCTTTTTATCTGAATGGCATTTGATATGTGTACATTATTTTTTATTGCATTTTATTACTATTGGCTGTAGTTTTTCTTTTTCTCCCCACCTGCCACAAAGCAGACGGGAGACGTCTACTTGTGTCTACTTTGTAGTTCGCTAAAGCGTCTGATAAATGCATAAACAAACTATTTTGGTTGTCAAACCGTTCGGCTTCTCAAGGACATAACAGCTACTTTTGTTAAAGTCATTCCACATTTTTTAATAATTCAAATTTTTCTGACTTTTTTTTCATTAAATTCATTTGAAGCCTTCAAATCCATCAAAAACTTTGACCCACCTCAGCCTACTTTGAGCTGGAAAAACTATACTTTTAAACGGGTCTAAAGGAATTCAGCCATTGCCAAATTACTCTTTAGGCTGGTCCCGATACGATATCTGGATCGGATCAGCCGACAGGAGAAAACCCAGGTCCAGACTCCATTTTATTTTTAAAGTACGATCCCACATTAGCATTAGCATCTGTAACCCACAGGTCTGTGTCCTAACCATTAAGTTATCAGAGTAAATCCCTGTTCAACATGAGTCTGACAACTAAGTAAGAAGA